GGTTTTATTTTTCACAATGTCTGATCAAAATTTACTTGCCCATAATTTTAAGTGTAATTGTTGTATTTTCTGAGACTAAAAGTGCAGAGAAGAGCAACAAAGATAAGTAGGTGCTCAGGCATGAAAATGTACCGCTCGAACACTATACTTTTCCGCTCACACTGAAAAAAAATTAGAGGGAACATTGCATGTCACCCCCTAGTGTCCTTCTCTTCATTAGACTAGACATAGCTAGTTTCCGTTCATCACAAGTTTTAGCCTTCAATCTCCTACTTATCTTTGTTGCTCTTCTCTGCACTTTTAGTCTCAGAAAATACAACAAATACACTTAAAATTATGGGCAAGTAAATTTTGATCAGACATTGTGAAAAATAAAACCTAATGTGAGAACTGTTCAACAAATAGAACAGATTGCCTTGGGAGTTGATATACTCTTCGTTGCTGGGAAGTTTCAACAGGCTGAATGACCATCCTTCAGGAACAGTAGGGTTTGGTTTTTTTTGCATTGGACAGAGGGTTGGACTTGATGATCTCCCTGATTTCCTCCAACTCGTGCAGTCTGTGATTTTAGTGTAAATCAAATACAGAAAGCTAAGAAAGCTAGTAATTTATATTAGAATTAAAGAAACCCTATTACAACACCTGGGAAAGTTTTCATAATGTTACACAGGCAGTTATTCAAATTAGAGGTATAAAGCCACAAAACTGCTCTCCACTTAAAATCAACTGTTTAGTATAGCCAAAAGTTCTACCACCAGCTTTACTAGGACATGTTAATTTTGACTGATGATTTATTTTCTCTATTTAAACCATATTTACTTTTTGCTGAGTTTGTATAATGCACTCAGGGTTTAATATACACTATTGCCTGGGGTTGCAATACACAATGAATCACAAGCTTATCCATGGGTTAGATTCACACATCACAGTAGTTTGAACTAAAATGACTTAGTAGGGAGTTATGTTAGGAAGCCAACGATTGTTTTAGCATGTATGAACAGGCTATCCAATTAAGCCACCACAAATATATCTGAGCATATCCTGTCATTTGAATGTAACAATTATATTTTACTAATTCAGGTTTAGCTGGTAAGGTAAAACCAAAGTTTTTTAAAAATAATTTTATTACGTAAGAGTCTTACCCATGATTAATTGAAGCAATTTGATTAGTTAAACCCGTTTTCAGGATTTGTATAACACATACTGAAATGTAATTTCTTGGGCTGTTTCTGTATAACCTAATAGACTAAAATGAAATTTGGAAGTATATGGCTGAAGCAATACTGTGCAACCATGCTTATACTTCTGTCAAAAGTGTTGTCCGTAATCAACATAAAACATTAAGCCAAAGTTGTTTTTCCTGCATGTTACAAGAAACATCCTGAACCATACATTTGCCAATCACATTTTAACCTACTGCATTGAATGAATTCAGACTACTTGGTGAATTTATTGTACAACTTAATATATCATGTACTTTCAAAATAACTGTTAGAAGAAAGCATGAAATAAATGATGTGGGTAAGAATATAGTGCAATTTGACTACCATGTTGTTAAGGGCTGTTTTTTTTAAAAAAAAAATTCTTTTGGCAGCATTTATTGGGGTATTAAAGGTGCAAACAACCTCATTCTCTGTTTCTCAGTATATTGTATGATATAGCCTCCATAATGGTCAATATGAACAAACTCCCTGCTTATTCCTTTAGGAATATTTTATGGAAAGGCAGCATTCAAACAACACGCTCAATCCATACATGCTTTACTTGTTTGAGGTTGGATGACATTACCTATTAAACAGTACTTTATGATAAGCATGTGGAATTGAATCAAATTAATGTTTCAGTAAATTGTGATTAAATAATGGCTTAGCATAGTGTGTGAACACAGCGCGGCAAAAACCATTGGATAAAATTTCTTGACCAACTCAATTTTTTACATTTGGGAAGTAATCTGTTGTTCCTACAGCTGTTTCCATGATATCTTTCCATTTTAGAATTAGAATAACAGAATTGGAAGGGACTTGAAGGTCTTCTAATTCAGCCCCGTTTAGGCAGGAAACCCTACACCACTTCAGACAAATAGTTAACCCATCTCTTCTTAAAGATTTCCAGTGTTGGAGCATTCACAACTTCTGGAGGCAACTTCTGTTCCACTGATTAATTGTTCTCACTGTCAGGAAATTTCTCCTCAGTTCTAAGTTGTTCTCTCCTTGATTAGTTTCCACCCATTGCTTCTTGTTCTACAGTCAGGTGCCTTGGAGAATAGTTTGACTCCCTCTTCTTTGTGGCAGCTCCTGAGATATTGGAAGACTGCTATCATGTTACCCCTAATCCTTATTTTCATCAGACTAGACATACCCAGTTCCAACAACTGTTCTTTATGTTTTAGCCTCCAGTTTCCTAATAATCTTTGTTGCTCTTCTCTACACTCTTTGTAAAGTCTCCACATCTTTTTTACATAGTGGTGACCAAAACTGGATGCAGTATTCCAAGTGTGGCCTTAGCAAAGCATTATAAAGTACACTGGTGGGTTGCTGCTGGTTTTACTACTGTTTCGCAACCTGCGCACGTGCCAGACACGCGCTGCACATGCGTGCACTGTTCAATGTAAATTGTTCTTCATCCATGCGCAGAACAATTTACAGTGAACTGCGCATGCGCAGTCACTAAAAACCAAAATGGTGGCAGCCCAGTGGCGGTGAAGGAATTCTTCTCACTATCAGGAAATTTCTCCTCAGTTCTAAGTTGCTTTTCTCCTTGATTAGTTTCCACCCATTGCTTCTTGTTCTACCCTCAGGTGCTTTGGAGAATAGCTTGGCTCCCTCTTCTTTGTGGCAACTCCTGAGATATAGGAAGATGGCTATCATGTCTCCCCTAGTCCTTCTTTCCATTAAACTAGACATACCCAGTTCCTGCAACCGCTCTTCATATGTTTTAGCCTCCAGTCCCCTAATCATCTTGGTTGCTCTTCTCTGCACTTTTTCTAGAGTGTCAACATCTTTTTATAGATGAACAAAACTGGATGCAATACTCTAGGTGTGGTCTTACTAAGGCTTTATAGAGTGGTATTAGTACCTCACTTGATCTTGATTGCATCCCCTTGATTGCATTTAAGACTGCATTGGCTTTTTTGACTGCCACTGTACAATTTTCCTCCTTCAATTCTCTCAACCTCGAAAGATTTTTAAAAATCACAACACTGCCATCTTGACTTTTTGACCGCCTTAGCAATTTACAATTGCCACATAGGTACAATAGGAGTAGAAGGAAGCATTAATGTACCATTTGAACATCCCCATCCAATTAATTAACCTGAACAAACACAGCAAGTGCATAGCTCAAGTGCATATCTGGCTGGAGAATTCGGGGAATTGAACTCCACAAGTCTCAAAGTTGCCAAGTTTGAAGACTTCTGCACCATGCGAACTCTACCTACGGCCGCTGTCAATCAAATACATTCCCCGCCCAACTCAACCCAGGCCATCCCTATTACGTCACCAGCTTACGCTCCATTGGCAGAAGGAAATACAGCCAAGAGGCGACAGGCGACTCGGTTGCATGAGCGCCCTTTGCAGTGCCGTCATTGGCTAATTTCTCCCGCCCCGTCGTGATTGGCCACCTTCCAAACAACCCCCGCCTTCCGCTGCTTTACATTCTAAATCGATTGGCGGCTTTTTCTTGTTTGGGCTCGCCGGCTCGCTTTTAATCCCACCCCTCGCCTGTCACTATTGGCTATTGGGGTACATTGATTGGTCCGCCTTCTTTCTCGGATGAAAAGCGCCGCTGAGGGAAGCGATGGAGCTTTACTAAAAGCCCTGACGAAATAGCAAACGCGGAGTCCCTGTAGGGTTGGGGGTTTTTTCCCCCCTTCTTTTCCTTCAGTCGCACTCTCGGAAATGGAGCTGACGTATCAGTCGTTGAGAACGACGCACCAGGCCAGAGAAGATGTGAGTGAAACGAGAACCTGTTCCTGTTTGCTCAGTAACTATGGCAACCGTGAGGCGAAGGGGCGGGGCTCTTGGCACCCGCGCGCTGGGAAGAGTGGCGCCCGCGCTGCGCATGCGTTTTAGCGCCATTGAAGGAAAAAAAGAAAAGGGAGGCTTGCAGTTAATCTTGACCTGAAACAGTTTGAGCGGCTGAACTTGGCCTTTCAGTTGGGCCTTGGCTTTTGCTTCCTTCGAGCTCCCGCTAAAGAGCAGGTCTTGCAACGGGATAGAAAGGGCTGGAGCTTCCGCATCCTTCCAAATGCCCTGCCTTTCCCATTCCCTTAATTTCAGGCCAGGCAAAAGTCTTGTTGGAAGAAATGTCCATCTGGGTTCAGTTCCAAGTGGGGAGAAAGACACTGGAAACATGGAGGCTGATTGGAAAGAGGGTTTAATGATGAAGTGGAACCACCAAGCATATGGTTCTGGTGGAGCTGACCACATGGAGTTGAGGTTATACCTTCTTTGGGCTGTGCACTTGAGCTTCCTGTTCCTGTGCAAGAACGTGTATTCTATTGGCTGTTGTCAGCCTCCCATGGGGTCGTGTAGGGGTTATGCAGGGGCTATAGCTGGCTCTATAGGCAAAGTACAAATCCTAGGTGTTTGAGCTAAGTTTGGTTGAAGTTTGTGAGAGTGATGCAATGAAGGGTGCAGAGTTGGGATTAATTTTTTTTACTACCGGTTCTGTGGGCGTGGCATGGGTTGGTGGGCATGGCAGGGGAAGATTACTGCAAAATCTCCAATTCCTCCCAATCAGCTGGCACTTGGGAGGCAGAGAATAGAAGGGGCGGAGCCAGTCAGAGGTGGTATTTGTCGGTTCTTCAAACTACTCAAAAATTCTGCTACCGGTTCTCCAGAACTGATCAGAACCTGCTGAATATCACCTCTAGGCTTGTGTTCTGAAAGGATGTTGTGCAATTCCTATTAATGGCTTTTTCCTATGTTGGATCTTGGGTGAGTGTATTTGCTTATGAATAGAGCTCTCTATCTCTTTAAGTGCTGACATCTGCTGAGGGCTATTAAGAAAAGTGGGGGCTGCTTTCCAAGAGCATGTTTCTCAATTTCTCATCCAGGGAAATCTAATATTCTGCCTTTTTAATATTTCTCAAAATGTTTCACTCTTCTAGGAGAGGGGTAGGTGTTAGCTTTCTACAAGAGCAACTCCCAAAATATTCCACTTGACTGCTCTTTGGCCATATGGCTTAGGGATTTGGGGTATTGTAGTCCAAATGCTGTATAATTGGTAGGGGATTGCAAAAGGCTGTGGACCACTCAGTAATGTGGGAAATAAATTAGAATCCTCAAGTTCAGCATAGTGCAGTTTTGCGTATTTAATTTATTTAGCACGAAACTGATTTGTCTCTTGAGAAACTTATATGCGGGTCAAGAAACAACAGTGAGAACTGGATATGGAACCCCTGATTGGTTCAAAATTGGCAAGGCTGTATACTGTCGCCCTGCCTATTTAACTTATATGCAGAGCACATCATGAGAAAGGCGGGGCTAAATGAATCAAAGGTTGGAATTAAGATTGCCGGGAGAAATATCAACAACCTCAGATATGCAGAGGATGCCACTCTAATGGCAGAAAGTGAAGAGGAACTAAAGAGCCTCTTGAGGCGGGTGAAGAAGGAGAGTGCAAAAGTTGGCTTGAAACTCAACAGTAAGAAAACTAAGATCATGGCATTCGGCCCTCTCGATTCCCAGCAAATACCAGTAGATGGGGAAGAAATGGAGGTAGTGACAGATTTTACTTTATAGCAATAGCAATAGCAATAGCAA